TCAGTACTTGGGGATGGGGTTTGTAAGATTCTTGGTTGCATTAAAACATACTGAACACCCAAGTGAGAGCAAGGAGTCAGTGTCATTAATTAGATTTTCTTCTCTGGAAAGTCGTATAATTACATTATGTGCCATTCCTGTGCCAGTACAGATCCTTCCTGCTGAAAGAAAAGGAGCAGAGCTTGATTATCGCAAAATATTTGGAAATGACTGGCTAGCAGCTGGTGGGAATTGGAACCCAGAGAAAAACAAACCAAGTGAAGAATTTCTTGCTGCCCATCCCAGATACCCATCGCTTTGTCTTAGTAAGTACAAAAGTACAGTAAAATTAGCATTTCTTCACTTCTGGCACTGCAGTAGCGCTGGTTCGGTCTCTCTTCAGTTTTCCTTCCCCCTGATGCTTTTTCCATGTGCTTCTGCTACCTCAGGAAAGCCCACCCTTTGGCAGGCCTGTGCACAAATGGCTTTTGCTTCCATGGGGCAGCTGCATAGTACTGCACCCCTCTGGGCACTGCTGCCTCCCGGGTGACACCTGTGAGCATCTGCCCCATAACTCTAGTGGTGAGCAGGCAGTGGCTGTCTCCACCTGGGGCTTCTTTAAAGTGGGCATCTTAAGCAGCACCTCCATGTGCCCTCCATGTACACCCTCCTAAATGCTCTAGCAGTTGGTGAAGGCTTGTGCCTGCAGCACTTGGTGTTGCAGGAGCCTACCACTTTGTATACTTGGTATCCCAGCTGCTGAGGGAACTGAGGCAGCAGGCTCACACCTGACCCAACACCACCATGCTCTTGGGTCTACTGCTGAGGTTTAGTCTTTGAAGGGTTCATGTCTACCTGCACTTTCCTTCACACAGAGTATGGTGCACCTGAAGAAGGAGAACTGAAGGGACGACAGCCTTTGACTCTGAAAAATCAGCTTCTGAGTAAGAGGCCAGAAATGGTCAAAATTATTCCTTCTCTATTTAAGATATTTTACAAGCTTAGTGCTTCCTGGGTGTATATGGAGAACAAAAGGTTCAAAAGCCTTCCAGATGTCAGAGTTCCAGCTTGTAATTCTGCTTCTCTGAACTGTGTAGTGATGAGTTTGACTAGATACCTGCTTCTGCGTGCTCCATCTCACTTCCCCCTCAACCCAAGCCAAATGATTTTCTTAATTAAGACTTAATGGAGAATAGCGGTGATCAATACTCCATTCTGACAGTGTGAATGGCTTCTCTACAGAAGACATTTGAGATTTTAACCTTGATAGCTGTGCTGTTTTCTGATAATTTTTTTTTTTTATAGCTTCTTAATTTTAAGGCAGTCAAGAAAAATAGCGGTAGCTTTGGTATTGGGGCTGTCTGCACATTTAAACTAGGTTACATCCCAGACTTACAAATTCACTTAGCTTTGTTTCCCAGTTGATGGAAGAACTGAACCTTTTTTTTACTCCATGGGCAAAATAGAGTAAAATAGAGTATTTTAAGGCATTACATTCTATTGCATTTAGGTGGAAGACTAAATAGAACAAGGAAGGTAGTTGGCTAGACATAATAGAAACCTTTTTTAAGGATCAGTCTTTTAATCTCTGTAAAAGAATTAGGCTAATAACTTCCTTAAAATGTGTTTGTACAGTGCTTTTGAGATAGTGAGGGTCAAAAACCTGCTTTAAACTCAGTAAGCAGTTTCCATTTTACTGCAGGTTATTATTTTAAAAAGCTAACTAGAAATAAAGCATTTTCAGGTAAATACTCCTTTTGACCAAAAAAACATGTTAAGTATTAGGGAGTCACTTTTAAAATATTTTCCCTAATTTACCAAAGATGAATAAAAACTTGATAACTTTCATAAAATTACTTCTAATTTTTCAGAGAATGACTAAATGCTACCTTTTATCTGTTCAGATACAGGCTACATCCTTTTTTTTTTTTTTTTTTTTTTAGAAGATCAGGCTGAGCTAGGGGAAACAATTTGTAATAAAAACAGACTAGAAAGACTCTGTGCTCCTGACAGAACAGGGCTTAACGTTCACTCACTAATGCCTCACTGTTCTTCTTTAAGCTTTGACGATTAAGTGTCCTGAGAAACCCGAACAGAAGCCAGTAGAGAAAAAGCTACCAGGTAAGAAATCTTGGCTTGTGTTTAAGCAGTTGATTTGTAGCTTCTTTTCAAATAACTGTATTAAAGAATGGCAGCTGCCTCTGGCTTTGTCAGCTCCTGAAGATTCTCCCCTGAAGGCTCTGTCATGTAAAGAAATGACAAAAGTAGAAATTGTTGGAAAAAGTAATTATTTTTCTGACCTTCATGCTTACTTTCAGTCCAGCTTGAAGCTGATGCTTGTCTTATGACCTCTGCTGCTGGTTTCATGATCAATGTGTCTGAGGCAATCAAAGGCTAATTAACTGGTATGAAATCTAGTGGAGTGCTAACCAAGTAACAAGAATATGAAGTTTTAAGAGCCAACTACCTAGTCCACAGTTCTAGATACTGAGGTCTGGTATCTAATACATTAAGTTAGAAATCTAATTCTGACCTGTATCAAATTTGTCTTTTGAAGTTTTAGTGCCTGTAGGGAGACTAGAATGAATAGACTTTGTTCTAAATCAAACTGATGTTTTGGAAAGATGTAGCAGAATGGAGTCTGAGAGAAAAGACTTACTCAAGCTTTATTCTAAAATAATAATCACATTTATTATCACAAGTCGCATAAAATCAGATAGATACAGCTTTTACAAAAATGTTTGATAGAAAAATATTTGTCTAAGTACAATGTGTGGTATTACAGGAATAACTCACTATTGCTGTGCCTTTAGATAAAGCTTCAAAAGAAGTGAAAGTTCAACCAAAATATTGAGTATATCTATTGCAAACACAGTTATCACCTCTGGAACAAACTACATTTACTCATTCAAGATCCATTACAAAAAATATCCCTTCGTGTAACTGACTTCATAATATAAACCACTCTACAACACTGCTGGCAGTTTGTTTGGAACTAACTAACATAACATCATTTCTAAGAATGGCACTAGTTCCACAGTGACATTCATTTAGTTGTGCCAGGAGAGCCAATTCCTGCTCATGAAGACTTCAAGGAACAGTTGCCAGATGCAAGCAGTCAGAACCTGACTGGTATGTGTCCCAAAGGTCACTTAGTTTAGCATGTAGTAAATACAAACTCAAAAAAAGTAAATTATGAAGCCGTAACACTTTAATTTGGTATATTGGGATCAAAGCGCTTAAAACCATGGTAGCATATCCTGTCCTATCCACCAGAGATTAAACCATTTTCAATTTGATATTAGCAGTTACGGTTTCAGGTACCAAAGACATTATTGCAGTGTTAGAACTGAAGCAGCAATACAGCCTTTCACTGTTGCTATGAGCAAGTATAGTTTAAACACTAGTACTTTGCTACAGCTCAGTGGTAGCAGCATTTTTCTAGTAACTTTTCTTTCTTCCCCCTTGACAGAGTCTATGACTATTCAGCGGGTCAAAGGATTGCTGTATCGCCTACTTAAAATTCCTGGTTCAGAACTGAAACTGTCCTACGAAAGTTCTAAAGTGAGTTAAAAATGGGTAATTCAACAATAAAATACTGCATGCTGCTAGAGGTCAGTAGCATGTTCTAAACTACTACCTAATCAAATTGATTTCACTAAAGGAGGACGGTCTTCATGCTGTAATTTAGGGCCTAACTTCATTCCTGTAATATGACAGATCCTCCCTGACTGCAAGTGCCTGATCTGTAGTTAAGTTTACGTGAACAGATTTCAGTTTAAGTCTGATCAGGGTTTTTTCCTTTCTTATTCTAGCTGGAAGGAAAAGAAGTTGAACTAGACAATGACTTAAAGCCTTTGCAGTTTTACTCAATAGAAAATGGAGACTGTGTGTTAGTACGGTGGTAAGAAGGGACTCTCTTGACAGACCGAAGGAAAAGCCAGCACCGGAACTGCAGAAGAGTTACAAGACTGCCTGCAGACAGTATGGACAGCCTGTGCCTGAGCTCACGTATGGGAGAATGTGAATTTCATACGTGGCACCAGAGAGCTATACAATAATACTTTCAAGCTCCTAAACCTAATCGTCAGTCTCCATGAAAGCATTTGCTTTTGGCTGAAGTGTCTTACTTGAGAGATACCAAATAGTGCTTAAATGCTTCATTTAAATAAAACTCAAGGTAACCCTTTTGCTAAGATTTTATACTACCTTCCTACTACAGCAGTGAGAATTTGTTTTACTGATCTGAGTACATGATTTAATTGTGATCTCTTTGCTTATAAGAGGACAAAATTAGTGCTGAACTGAAAGATGCTACTTGCTCTTTCTGGTTTTGCCTACTTCCACTGACCTTAAAGCAAACAAAAGTGAAACAGCAGTAATTGTAGAAGTATCTACACAGCCTTAGAACTAAGGTCAAAATCTGAAAGACCTTTATTCTACCCTACAGCATTAACATACCACAGTATAAATAAGTTCTCAGCATACTGCAAGGCATTGCTAGTTATTTTACATTCTTTCTCAGTCTTATTTTACTTTCACTTGTGTACTCTCAGATTCATATCTAATAACACATTGAGCTATCAGAAATCCCTCTTCATCAGGCCAAGTTTGCAGTACTTCAAGATTTGGTATAAGCAAACTTTGATACTGTTTTTTTTATCTAAAATGACAATGGTATAAACAAATTAAACATAAATCCTAACCCCTAGCTGTCCCAGCCCCTGCACAGATGAGGGCAACCCCTCAGACAGCACAGAACCTGCTGCAGCAAAACTTACCAGATGCCCTGGTGCGGAGCACAGCTCTCCACTGGATCCTGGTACAGCTCTATACTGAGTTAAGTCAGTAGTACTTCAATTTACAAAAGACAGGCTAGTTGGCATTCTTATGTGCATTTATTAATTACAAGTAGGTCTTTGACTTAATATAAAAAGGAAATTTTTTATCTTAAACATTTTGGTTTTTGTCAGATCAACATCTATACTATAGAAAATGAATAGTATCAGTCCACTTGTAATTATCAAAAGGGATGTGCAAATATTGTTATACTTTAGTTGAAACCCACCATTAAAAGATACCTTAAGATTCCTTATTGTTCCAAGAATGAATCCAAATGTACATGTTTCCATGATCATTATACACTACCCTGTTTTCCAAGGCAAGTCCATCATCTTTCCTCACATCTACAAGGATCTCCACACAGTTCCTTTAACCTCCAGAGCTCTCTCAGTTCCTGTGGAGAATACTGGGGGGAAGACAGCATGCCACTCTCGCATGTCTTCTCACACAACCAGAGACTATCCTGTTAGAGAGAAAACCACTTCAATAGTTTTTCTCACAAAGAATTTAGTCTTCAACAATCTTTACTTCCACAAATCAGGTTTTCCTTGTTTCTAGCAACAAACTTTGCACACAGAGGTCACCAAGTAGAGGTATATGTCCCGCTCTGATCTGTTAGACCTATTCAGAGAACTTGGGGGGGTGGGGATGGGGGCTGCTGAGAGGGGGGTGTGTTTTCTTGTAACTACATCTTCACAAGTTTTTTCTGGATTTTAATCCAATGCCTGTTTCCTTTTTTTTTTTTTTTTTAAGAAAAAACATTTCTCCTATTTTACGCTACTTGGAGCAACAGGCATGTTCTCTTTCTGACAGAGAAAGAGAAATCAGAGAATTCCTTCAGACTTACTTGATAGCGCTTGGGTCCTACAGCTGCCATCCAGATGCCCATACTCACATCTTCACCCTGAGACAACACATTAAATTAAAAACCACAGATATTAGCACCAGGAAAGCATGAAGCATGACTTCGTGAACTAGAATAAGTGGCATCATGTACCAGCAGTAAAAAATGGTAACCACAAAAAGCTACATCTGACTGTTTTAGAGGTATTAAATTAATTCTCCCAGCTTTCCTGTGATAATACATTGTTCTTAAGAGAGTACAAAAACCAAGATTACCGCTCCAGAGGTTCTCAGTCCAATACAGTTGTGCTTTGACCTAAGCGTAGTGACCAAAAGCACTGCAAAAGCCAGCACTAACACTTGAGCAATGTTCTTTCCAACTCATCCAGTACACATACTGCTCCCCGAGACCAGCTTAAGACAGAAAAACTGAACCAACGCTTTACTACCTGGTACGTCTTTAATCTTCCAGAGTTGCTTGCCAGCCACTGAACAATGTCTTTGGAGATGACGTAGCCAGATCCACAAGCAAAGGCTGGATATGCAGGACTTGGGTACTCCAGCTCTTGCCATTTCCCAGTTCGATCAACTGCCCAATTTAGTCTGAAACTGAAGACCATGTTAGACATAAGATCTTTATACAAAGCCCTCTGTGAAACTTAAGAACACTGCTAACAACTGAAGTAACACTGATAGTAAACAGTATTACGAGGAAGAAGTAGAAGGTGATCATAATTATAGTTCCTAGCCTTATTTCTCTAGGGCACACATCTAATGGAACACAACAGCTGAAAAGCTTAATTATTGTTTGGTCTCAAATCTCAGGTAATAAGAGAAAGTTTTCAGAACAGAAACAAACGCAACATTGACAGTCAGGTCTTCAGCATGTCTGCACCCACTTGCTGGGTTTTGATCCAGGTAAGCGCAAGCATCCTCACCTATGTTCTGTAACAGCACATCTGTGTCTAACCCCCTTTGATTAATCAACACGACACAAAGTCGGTGCCTCCGGCAGGCACGCTGTTACAGCAATATTGCACAAACCATTTTCCTGATAAAACCAGTGGCTGCTTAAAAACCAGGAAGCAAGGCAAAGTACTGTTTTTTTTTTTTTATATATACCTTCTCTAAGCTGTTTTCCAACTGAAACTCAACAAAGTGGATGTTCAACAAAGGCTGCCATCACTGAATTACAAAAAACCTTCCTGGCAGTCATCTTCTCTGAGGAAGATTGTACTCATACTACTAGAGGCCTGCAGAAGGCCAGCAGTGCTCTCTGTCTGCACAGTCTCTCCACACTGACTCCCATCCCCAGGCGGGGTGGCACAGTTAGCTTTAACACCCTGCCGCACCATACAGACCCTGTTAAGCTGCTGCGTCAGGCAGTGAGAACCACCCTGTTCAGGAGCAGGCTGGTATTGCACTCCCCTTACCTTACAGGTACTTCAGGCACTCACAGCTAAGTGGCATAACTACATCAGTGCAGCAGGTTCTCCCCCTTTTTGCGAACAAGGTTCAAGCATTGCTGAATTCAGCCATGAGCACAAGCAGGTAAAAGATTTAGTGAGCTACTAAGAATTATCACCTCAGACAACAGCCCCGTAAGGGAGGAATTACAGTTGAGTGGCAGATCTGTTACCAGACTTTACACATTCACAGCTGAAGCTGACATGTTAAAGCACCAACTAGATAAAAGTCGTATCTGATACCTGAATTCACTTCAGACTCAGTATCTTCCACTCTAGCAAGTCCCAGCAGGAAGGGTGCAAGCCCCTCCAGACTGAGGGGCACCTGCTTTGTTAATCATTTTATAATTCAGCAGTGATTTCAGCATTGTTCACTACACCTCACACTTGCTTTACCTGAAGACTGTGACTATTAGCGAATTTACACTTGAAGATGTCACCCCTACATAAAGGTCGCTAAAGACATACAGAAAAGGTGATGTTTTGTCCAACTCTTCTCTCCCAGCACAACTTGTCAGTTCCTTTTGTCAGTAACCGAATAAAATTACTCAATACCTTAACACACCATTTCCACAGCAAGACTTGGCAAAATTAATTTTTCAGTCTGCAGAAGAAAGCATTATTGATCCTCCTAAGTTCATTCAATGGCTATTCTAAGGCAAGCTGTCGTGGTTTAACCCCAGCCAGCAACTAAGCACCACGCAGCCGCTTACTCACTCCCCCCCACTCAGTGGGATGGGGGAGAAAATGGGGAAAAGTAGTAAAACTCGTGGGTTGAGATAAGAACGGTTTAATAGAACAGAAAAGAAGAAACTAATAATGATAACACTAATAAAGTGACAGCAGTAATAATAAAAGGATTGGAATGTACAAAGGATGCGCAGGGCAATTGCTCACCACCCACCGATCGACGCCCCATTAGTCCCCGAGTGGCGATCCCCCTTCCCCCACTCCCTCCAGTTTATATACTGGGCATGACATCACACGGTATGGAATACCCCGTTGGCCAGTTTGGGTCAGCTGTCCTGGCTGTGTCCTGTGCCAACTTCTTGTGCCCCTCCAGCTTTCTCACTGGCTGGGCATGAGAAACTGAAAAATCCTTGACTTTAGACTAAACACTACTTAGCAACAACTGAAAGCATCAGTGTAATCAACATTCTTCACATACTGAACTCAAAACATAGCACTGTACCAGCTACTAGGAAGACAATTAACTCTATCCCAGCTGAAACCAGGACACAAGCCTAGAAATACATTACTAGAACATGAAGCATGTTACACTCAACAGCGTATCTTACATCCCAGGAAAAGGGGAGGTTCATATTACAAATGAAACATATTTTCACAGAAAACTTCAAGTATCTGAAATTTCTTTTTGGCCTAATTAAGGTCAAGAAAAGGTGCCATTCTGAACTGTCGCTGCTTTCCGTAGCATGGTAGATGAGGCAACTTCAGTGCTTTTCGTTTACAGCATTCATATTAGATTCAGTCTCCCTCAGAAACAGCTTGGTACATTCTACCCCATCATAAATTTGGTCATTTACAGACATGATCAGTGATCTGTCAAAGACGGCTCTCTCAAGCCTGAGGGTGACTAGTCTTTTGACTGCACTTTTAAAAGAACAGAATAGCAGTAACTTAAGTATATTCTCTCCAAGATGAGCCAAAGTTCTAAAGCAGGATACTTGGACCATTTGGTTTTCCAGCCTGTAGTCCTAAAATGCTCTAGATTAGCTACATAAGCTTTTTAAATGGTGATTTAAAATTAATGAACAAAACCACTGCACAATATGAAGTGGCATCAGGAAAGGGCTATTAACCAACAGCACGTGTAAGTACTGCTCAATCCAAAGCATTCCCTTCCCAGTTTCCTTGAGATCTCATCCTTGGTTTCTGCCAGAGCAAGCTGATAATTTCAGAATTCACAATGATAAGTTTCTCTAAGAATACAGGAATTAATTATTAACAGATTATAAGGAACACCAGACAACAAACAAGAAACTTGTCTGAACTAGAGATAGCTTAATAAGGTCTAGGTGAAGAATGCAAACTTTTGAGTTCTCAGACACATGCTCAGAGGAACAGAAGGAAGGGGGACCATCAATAAAGTCACCTCAAAGGCCAGATATATTAACCTTCTGCTCAGGAAGTTAAGGTCTCCACACACCAGAATCAGCTCTCAGAGAAGCCCAACAGCATTTTGTTTGCACTTTCACCAATGCTCAAGTCTAAATATACAAGATGTCATGGAGTTGAAAGGTAGGAGAGCTTGGAAGAATCCCCCCAAACCACTCAGAAGACTCCTGTACACTCAGGCGTTACCCACCAAACTGAACACATAACCAGAACACTCTGGCCAAGGAGCAGGCCCATGGCAGGCAGCAACACAAAAGTAGGGACACCCACCATTGCAGAGGTGGGGACACCAGGGAGAAGGAGGGCAATCTCTTTGGTATCATATCCTCAGCTGTTACAGCCAAGAACATGCTCCAGAAGAGCTTTCCCTACATCAGCTGGAACAGCAGCCCAGGCAGCTTACACCTAGTACTATCTTTCCTTTTGCAAGTTGGTTTCCATCTTGTCACCAAGTTCCCGACCTATACATGGCTAGAATGAACCTATCTTACCTTCGCTATTAGCCTTGCCTGGTGGTAAAGGTAGTCCCAAGAAAATTTAACAGGCATCAGGCAATCAGGGGTTTTGTACAGGCTAGAGAACACATGCCCACCACTCAGATCTTTGAGATCATCACAAGATAGCCAGCTATGGCACACACTTCAACACACACACACACAGACAGACACTTCCACATACCTTATTAAATCACCCTACGAGTAATCAAGTCAGTACCAGATTTGTGAAGCAAGACACCTTTAGCAGCAAAGGCCAGCTTTTCTTCAAGTAAGAAAGGCAACAGGAAGACACATTGTACCATTGTGCTATACTGAATTTTATAGCAGCGTAGCATTTCTGCTATATTGGATGTTATACCAGCATAGCAATGCATTCCATGGATGGAAGGGAAGAGATGGGCTATTTTGATCCTCCTAGTTATTCACAAGTGTAATAATACAGGCTGGGGAACTTCACTTGAATTCATGAATCAGCTCTACCATTTCAGACAGCAGCAAAATGGGTAGCAATCCCTGTCATTCACAGCCTTCAAAATAAAGTACAGGCTATAAAGGCAATTTTGTTTCTCCTGTTTACCCCATTTCCTCAAGCCCACACAAAAAAATCACAGTGGCTTCAAAAAAAGTAATGTTTACAATTCTAGTATGTACTTGCCTTTTAACTTTACTGTACCGCTGGAATACTTTTATTTACTTAAGTATCACGACAAAGACATACAACACATTTTAAAACTAGGTAAAATATTCAGCAAGTTCAACTCATTGTAAAGGCACACTCTGGAAAGCTATTGTAAAGGATTGATTTCTGTATTCTGAGATTCAAAGTTCTACACATACAAAAGTCCTGCTTTTTATAACTAGCTTCCACAGGCAGAAAAAGGGAACTCACATGAAAACAGACTTAAAGCAGTAAACCGTTCACTAAAGACAAGTTAAAAAAAACAACTCACTTTCCCCACCAAATGTTTGGCCTGTCCAATTTTTTCTGCATTATCCTGTCAAAAACAGCCTCCAAATCAATGTAACAGTCATCATCTGTCTTCAGCAACAAATCAAAACTCGTTGATTCAACTGTCCTGTAGCCAAAAAGAAAAGCGATGAGATGCTGAGCTGCAGCCCTCAAACTACAGTTACACAACAGAACACTCCACAGGGGTTTTTTGGGGAAGCAGAGGGGGAGGGAAGAGGGAAGAAATGGCTTTCCTACCCTTGACTTTTAAACATTTTCCCTATTGACAAAGGCTGACTGCTTGTCCTATAGAAAGGAGATGGAGCTGCATCCTATGATGATCTTACAACATGGATTTGTGTATGAGCTGAAGAAAACAAACTTGAAGTTTTGTTCTCCAGGACAGATGGTGGATTTACTAATGAATCAGTCTTAAACAGTATTGACCTCAGAAGGGTATGAATCCCTGCTGATGATGGCAGCACAGCTGTTAAAAGCCAGTGGCTACATGTCAGTAGCCTACTCTTCAGGATGAGACAGTCAGTTCAAGGGCAATACAACTGTAGAAGGTTGGAAGAAACATCTGTGGAAACAACTTAGTACTTACTCTTTCTCAGTAAAGCACCCTTCAAATATGAAAAAAGTAATCTTTAACTGTCTGAAATAGTTGAATATCTGTCACTTGTAAAACAACCCAAGAAGCTTAAGAGGCTAGGGATTATTCCTGGGTTGATTAACAAACATTGATTTTAAAGGTAATTTCTCTTAACAAGAAAGTCATTTTCCTTAAGCCTTTTATTACTAAATTTTGAAAAAATTGCTAACCTGTAAGAAATTATCACAAAGATCTAAGTGTTGACATTTAAACTCCCTTTTTAGAACTGAAAGCATGGTTCGGTTTTTCAGTTACATTCATAACCATGAAATTTGTTAAATAAGAGCGTTATCTTGCAAGCAACTAAAACTGTGAGCTATATTTCTTACTCCACAGCAACATCAATTAATTGAAACAGTTGTCTCAGAGTAACGGAAAGAATTGCAAGTTAGAGGTAATAACGTATTAGATTCACCACGGACAATGTAATACACTATGAAAATTCTTCCTCCCAACCTTCCGTCCCCGCTGTACACAAGCTTCCTATCCTTCCCCTACTCCTGTAGAGTACAGCATGCAGTCTTTGGCTCCTCAGTAGAAGAGAGATACGGACATTCTGGGTGGAGAGTCCAGCAAAGGGCCACCACGGATTAAGGGCCTGGAGCATCTCTCCTATGAGGAAAGGCTGAGAGAGCTGGGACTGTTGAGCCTGGAGAAGAGAGGGCTCGGGGGAGCTCATCAATGTATATAAATACCTGAAGGGAGGGTGTAAAGAGATGGAGCCAGGCTCTTTTCAGTGGTGCCCAGTGACAGGACAAGAGTCAATGGCTACAAACTGAAACACTTAGGTATACAAGCTGGCCAAAAACCATCCTTTAAAAGACTAAAGCTTCTAGTTTTCAGTCCAAAACAAATTAAAAGAAATGACAAGGAGATGTGAAAATTCTCACACCTGGACTCTTAGAGCAGAAGCCTGTCTTGCCAGCTTATGCTTATTTGAGGCACCAAGGGTCAGCATTCAAGAAATATAGATCCTGTTATTTTACTCACTACATGCCCCCAAAATTGAGAGAGAAAAATATAACTTAATGAAGTAAATCATATAAGGTATGTATTTCATGGCACCTGTCAGATAATGTAACATGCTGGATCATCTTGCACTACAAACAGCAACATTCCTAAGAGAAAATACTTTAAACATACCATCGGTAGAAGTTCAGCAGTTTGGCTGGAACATTTCTGTAAGTGTCAATAACATCTACAAAAACAATATCGTCATAGGTACCACTTTCTTCCTTCAATAAAGCATCTTCTTTTTCAAGATTTTTTATGTGACTTGTAAACCTTTCTGGGCGAGTATGGAGGCTTTTTAATAGAGCATCACCTTCTGAAAGAAACAGCACCCATCATTAAACAAAGATGCATACCTACATACTATTTCACGTTTCTCTTGGATCATACACAACATACTCACAAAATGAATCTGAAGAAGTGTTCAACTCAATGGGGTTATGAAAATCCTACAATTAATTTTAAAATTTCTATGAAATGTTAAAAGTTGCAGAACAGTAAAGTAGTATATTTTTGCATAAGGTCTGATACAGAAAGTAAAAATGTGTTCTTTTCCTTTTCAGTAATAAAAGGATTCAAGTTTTTAAGAGCTGTCTGGGACTTCACTATTCCTCTTACTGGTAGAGGAAAAAGGCTACTGTTACATCAGTTACTCCTAAGCCTATATATCTAGCAAAAAAAAATAAACACCCAAACAAAAAAACCCTGCTATGCTAAGTATAACCAAATTGGCATTGCTTTGATGTAGCACATCACATAGTTGACTGCAGGTAAAAGTTAAAAAAATATTGCAAGAATACTGAACTTCTTTGTAAGGAGATAGTTTGTGGTACTGAAGAACTTTTTGACAAACAGGATGGAACGGCTTTAGCACAGCTCAGTTCAGGTTCCCACACAGATGACAAGACAACAGGACTGCCCAATAACATCTGCCAGGCCTAGCTACAAAAACACAGGAACAACACTCTGAAAGTCACTTCTTATGTTGGCTGTGATGGACGGATAAGAATACATCAACTTCAGTGCTATGTGGCCAAAATCTTAGACATTGGAACGGGCTCCTACAGAGTCTCCGAACATTCTGCTGAAATAGGTGTAAAACAGCAACAACAGGGGTGGAAAAGCAGGCTCTGTTAGGTAGTCACTATTTGTCAGTTAATATTAAACATCATGACATAGTACTTCTAACAGTAGCAGGACTGGAAAAAAATGTGAAAATTATCAGGGAAGAGTTTCATTGCACAATATTTTTTAACTTGGGTTTGGTAACAAAAAACAAGGACTGAGAAGAGAGTCTAGATAAAAATGGCATTTCTGTTAATAAAAAGACATAGGGATGCAAGTCAATTGGAGTGGCCGACAAAGGGCAAGCAAAGAAACCACATCAGGACATTGACACATTAGGCATAAAAAAAAACAGGAAGAAATTAATTGTTTCTACTAAAAGAAAACTTAAGGTGATCAAGTTCATAGAGATAGCACAAATTTTAGCTCAGAAATGTAATTTAAAAGTTCCTGTTTTATCATAACATCAAATGTGATGCTACGTTTTGTAGACTTACCTTGAATAGTGTAGATAAAACCACCTGCTATTCCCTCCACACCTTCCGTGAGTTCATGTGGCAGTGAGCCTTCCCCTGCCTGCTAGAGACAAATTAACACAAAGAGATAAATCAGTTCACCTCTCATTACTGATATGTTTTTCCCTACGATTTTAAGATGTGAAGTTTTCTGGCAACTGAGAATGAAATTAATTTAAAGCTCTTCTGGTTTAGGTACCTGCATAATGAAAGACTAAGATCTTTAACTGTAAAGTTCTGTGGCATTTTTTGAAGTTTCACCTAAAACTAGCAGTACCACTGAAACTTTCAGAAAAGTCGTTTCGAAGTTGAGAGCAAAATATAAAGTTATTCTGGCTAAATTACAACAGCACAGCATGTTTAAGCAAGCAATGTTTTGACAGGAAAAGAGGTACACCGCCAAAAAGCAAAAAAAAACAGGCTTAATCCCGTCAATTGGGATTTTAGCACGGGATTTTTGACCCACATTTTGCCATCTCTGATATACTGATACTGCTTCACACCTGAGAAAGACAACAGGTGAACTTTAATCCCTTCAAAATAAAAGAAAATGCCACTTACTAGCATCATTTTTTGCATGCCCCTGTCCTTTTTCCAGGCAAAGCAAACTTTCCCTCTGAGACAACAGGAGAAGCCCAACTGAATTAACGATTTACAGAGAAACACAGGAAAGCAAAATGCTAAATACCCAAGACTTATAGAAAAAATAGAAACATGGTAGAAGGGAAGGTGAGGTGACTCACTGTAATGACTCTGAAAACACCCCCTCCATCATTCACCATCACGTTATGAAGGTTTCTTGAAACAAGGCCCTGAAGATCCTGGCTTTCCCACACAATGGTACCTTCAAAACTCTGGTAAGAGAGCAAAACACTGTTATGCAGGTATTAAAAGACTTCAAAGGATGAAAATCAAACAATTTGGGGTTTCTTTTATTTTAAAATAGTCAACTTCACACAACATATAGCTTGAACGCACAACACTTGTTCTACTTACACTTCAATAAAAGTAAGTTACACATAGAAGAGATACATCTGCGAAACTCAGAAACTCAGTAATCATGCTTTTAAGACTCATCATGAATCTTCATATTAGGAACATTGAACTTTTAACGGAAGTCTACTGTAAAAGTCTTTGGCTTTCTAACATCATTAAGATGGCATTTAAAGGTGACCTGAAGTGAATTTTTAAAAATCAACTATAAAATCCTGCATTACAAAGAGAATACATTAAAACAGACTTGGAAATAAGTACTTTTTAGTTATCTGCCAAAACCAGAGATCAGAGACTTAACCCTGACATCAGCAAAACTCAAAGGAAAATGCAGCCACCTTTATCCTGGCAAAGCTGTCACAAGCTACTGTAGGAGAGTCACAGAACTCTGACCTCACATCTTGCCTGGTAGGGAAAGGAGGAGAAAGACAAGTGAGTATCTTCAAAACTTTCTGGGTTTAACTGTCAGTTTAAGTTATGTCACTCCAGTGTGTGTGTGGGGGGGGGGGGAAATTCTTGCATTTAAAGGCATTTCATCTCAACTTGAAACTAATCCACCTAACAGTCCAACTATTACCCATTTTATGCAAGACCCCTGAGAACTTGCAAAGGGACAAGCGGTATGTTGTACAGAAAACAGTACTGATAGTATTATATTCTTTAATCTTTTTAAAGCAATTTCACCCTTATGACAAGGTAGTACAGAGTAGTCGTACGGTTGTTATACTCCTGACTGCTAGACGAGCACATTCTGTTTTGTTTCTCCCAATTTCATAGGAAAAACACTAGTAGCTAGTGTGGACCTTGGAACAGAGAAACAACTTGTTTCAACTCTTTGTAGATGCATCTCTGTTGCTGTAGAAAGTCTGTGTACTTGTACTAACCTCTCAGCTATTCCCCATTTTAGCTTCCTTGTACTCCAGAAACCTTCTGCAGAAACTCTCCAGTTACTGACACACGATTAAGTGTAGCTTAGAGTTCAGCTCAATTCTTTGCTTTCCTCTAGAAGCAAGTCTTAACATCTGCAGCAGTCTCAGTATTTAATGACAGCTGCGTATTTCAGAAGTCTCCTACCTATTATTTACAATGCCACCTTTATAAGCTAGTAATGGAGCTAGTCAGTGTTTATTCAAGCTCGACTTGCATGCTCAATACCTTCCCCTTCTTTGTTTAATTACCTGTCAGTTATCAAAACAAATATACCACTATAAATATACCACTACTAAGACTTTTTTTAGTGGCAGGACCCCTGAACACCCTGCACAATAAAACCCACATGCTGAAGTTCCCTATTTGCAGTGGCTGTCATCTCCCATTCCAATGTTTTCTGCTGTAGGGACCGGGCTCTAATCCCACTTCTGTGCCTTGTTTACAGACACAACCTATGGTAAGTTCTTTAGTGAGCCTGAGAATCCTTTCACTCCTCAGCAACCAGAAACATTAAAATTCTCACCACTGACTATTATTGATACTGACTCCAAACATGTACCAAGAGTCTTAATCAGTTATTACCAGTGAACCACAGCGCAAGGTGTCCTCAAGCTGCGAACTATCATTATTTTCCAGGTTGAGAGACTTGTAAGCAAATTTTCTAATGACTTTAGCCTTCAGCTATTCTTACTGTAAGGCGCTTATTGAAAACTGAGGCCTGAAAATGCTTAAAGCAAAACATTACTGGCACACCTGAGACTACATCATCTGGTTTTCCCCATTTAAATTCCAGCCTTGTTGCTGCCAGAGCGCAGTGACATTTACAGTGAATACCGAACAGGTGTACTGACATAATGCAGCCCTGCCGAACTCCTTTCCTAATGTTTAACAGTGCCGTGCTTTTTGTTTTTCCAACCACTCCCCATTAGTAATACAGAGTATGCATAGTACGGAATCCCATTTTCATGCAAGCGGCCCGTGGCTTTTTGACAAGATAAGTGCATTGCTAAGACTTGGCTGTAAGGACCCCTGTGTGAGTTTTAGTTATCTGCTAGTGGTTCTGTTCTTCTGCGCTTTCAGTTGTTCCAAAGCTGAATGATTGATTCTGTCTTTGACAATCTGGCCTGCCAGATGCTTATTCTAATGCTGCATTTCCCTCCCTTTCCCCAAGACAAGCAGGAAGAGCAGCACTTCAGCTGGAAGATGAATGAAACTCTTCAGCAGTCTCTACAATCCATTACTTCTTGAAGGTGGAAAGGCAGAGAATAGATACTGTCTCAGAAACCATCTTGTGACAATTAAACAGTTCACTAAATTTACTGCTCTCAAACAAGTAGATAGGAACACGTGGGTGTTCTGTCTCCTCTGAATCATCTTGTATGGTTCAGCATCCTAAGTATCACAGGAGACTACATGCTGTGCATAAACCCTATTAATCTACATTAGAAACATCATGTTATCCTGTAAGCATTCAGCACATGACACGTATCAGATTAAGGAAGCCCGCACAAAGAAATATATGAATACTAATATCCCCTTTCTAAATGAAATACTTCCCATCTGCCTCTCAGGAAAAACACAATCATTTATAACAAAATTACAACTGCCTAGAAATTTAGCATCGCGAAACAAAGTCTTACAGGGAAAAGGCTTGCAAGTTACACTACCAAATTACTGGGTAACCAATACTCTTTTTAAAAAGAGTAAAAAAAACCTGAATCATTTTGATCTCAAATTAGATTGTCAAAACACATGTACAGAATACTGCAAGAGGTCTGCTCACCCAAAAGGTCTCCTGCCAGCCTAACAAACTTGCATAATATTCAGTAAAAACTATTTAAGAGGATAAACCAATTAAGAGGATAAACCAATTAATCAGCTACAGATTCCTCTTAAAAAGAGCAGGTTTCCAAATGCATTCATTCTTATAGAGACAGGGGAATAAATCAGAGATTAAACTGGCCCCAAATGTCCTCTCATCCCCCTTCAGTCTTCTCTTGCTCCATTCTTTCGTAAAACACTTAATTTCTTGCATAACAAAACCACCCAGACCCAAAGACAACTTACAGAAATAGGAGCAAGGGTCCAGTTATATAGGAGAATATTTAAATGAAGGGAAACAGCCTAAAATGGCAGCTGACATATCTAGTGAGAGATCACTGGTCCACCAGGAACAATTCCTCGTATGTGGGAGGGTCTGCTGAACTAGAATTCTCATTCTGAGTCAACTTGTATTCACTAAACTTTCATTGTAACAATATCAGGTTTTTTCCTACCTATATTCTGTTCCTTCTGTGTTTAATCACCTTCCTTCCTAAAAAGCCACAAGTAGGTTCTATATCCCTATACCAAAACACTACTCTTGGACTGCACCCCCAATCCCAAAGAGGATTAAAAAAACCCCCAAAACTTTAGATTCTGCCTCATTAGCTTAGCTAATGGTATCTCAGGACAAGCAAGAACGCTAACACTCATTACTGTCCAAAAAGCAGTCTTCTTCCAAATTTCTGATTTCTGAGGGGCACCCATTTAAAAAAAAAAAAAAAAAAAAAACAAAAAAAAAAACACCAAAAAAACAACAAACACTTCTGCCATAGGATGTTGACAGGTTTTAAAAACCCAAATGTCAGTCTTCTGTGCATCCATTTAGTATGTTACAGATAGACCCTACTAAAGATCTTCTTGAAGGTCTAATTCTTGGATCCTTGCATGGTTCAATGAATGAAAAATTCCTCACTAGTGCCGCCAGAAGAAATAACCAAAATCTCAGTAGCCTGCAGTAAGAGCTTCTCGATTACAACTATTCCACTAATACCATTATTGCAAACATAACAGTATCTTGCTGTTATATCCAAGATGTCAGAAGCAGAAATCTCTCTTCGAGCTGTTCCCTAGAAATCTGTGCCATCCTCCCCTCCCTATCTTGTATACTAATGTCTGAAAAAGCAGGAGGGAGAAATAACCGTCCCGTTCTCTGGTAAACTCTCCCACAGAATTGAAGCAGGTACAATTTTCACTCAGAAACTGAAAAGGTTTCTGAAATTGCTATTTGTCAATGTAGGTTTTTTTAATCAATTTGTATTTTTTAGGCTTTGCTTTATAACTACCAGTGATAATGAGATGGTGAAAAAGAAATTCTGGATTTCAGCATATACCCTCAACTAACATTCTAGCAGCTTTCACTTGCCTTTTTCTGTCTCAAGCAAAGGCCAGTTTTATCAGTCAGTCTCTCCAGCTGACTCAAAAGAACTGCAGGCAGTTCTGATACTGCACATACCTCTGGCAAAATGAACTGCTCTACTGGCTTGTACCATAATCTGTTCACTTGCACTCCACAGCTTGGTGGACTAAAGCGAGCACTGAAGAGAGCTTCCTGTGAACAACAGAAAAGAAAAACAAACAAACAAAAACCCACACATTAAAAGTGCTGTGAGATTATGCAATTCTTCATCATCTCAATTAGTTACAAAGGAAAGAGGCTTATTCATTGTATAAAACTTAGTGAAAGTTTTATTCTCACAACAGCCTCAGACTCTACAGAATTTGAGTGTTGGATTGACACAGTGGAAGCAAGCAACAATGGAACAAGAGTGCAAGTTCAACTAGAATCCAACCCACAGAGCACATCATCTGGAAGACTTGGACTCATCTCCCAGTTTACAGACTTTCTATCTTCTGTTTAAATAGCTGACTACTATTAATTGCAACAGAGGATGCTGAACCCTAAAACTTAATTGCTACTATATTACACAGGCCACCAAATGGCTCTTAGATAATAACAAATGACATAAAGATGCAGCATTGCCAGAGTCCCAATCTTCAGAAAACAGTCTCCAAGCACTCCTATGATACTAATTTTTCTCCTTCACTGGAAGTAAAAAGCTAATGCAGATCAAGTTACTAGGCTGTCAATGTTTAGAACTCTAGCATTTAGCAAACATAAATCTGATTACAGTATACTTTTTCTTTTTTTTGCTATTATAAACGCAACTCATTGGAAGTTCATCATAAAAGGCATACTTCAGTATATTTTCTGGACTTAATGTGAATTATTAGCTTAAATTTAAAATTCTTTCTACTCTAGCATAGCCAGAGTCTTGAAATTGGCCTATCAAGTTATTGGTAGAGATAAATGCAATATACCAAATGCAACAATCATGCTCAATGACTTTTTTTCCTCCAGGTTAGCACTAAGCTATTCTATCAAACCCATAACAGCTTGGGAGTGGGGGAAATTATCACTGAAGTTAGATTATTACCTGTAAATAATACCAGTTTCTAGAAATCTCAAAATGTCTTGCCAGAAGGCAGACAATAAAAAGTTACAGCTGTCCTGCATCTCTCTGCTTGAAGGCATCAAATGTGTCTTTCTGCACATGTTTTAAATATATTCTACAGTTTATTTTTTATTCATTGATACCCATCAATACTTTAGAACCTCAAATGCAATCAAAATTGTGTCTTGGAATTAGATATAAGCACTCTTTCAAAAGGACATTTAAATTAACTCACAGCATTTTTTGAATTTCATCTTTTCCTCATCCGGGATATGTGTGCATGTGTATATATTTCTGTGAAATAAGAATTTACAATGCAACAGAAGAAAAATAATTCATATGCTTGTCAGCTAAGTACTTCTAAATCATCAACACAGCATGTTGCTTTCTGTAAGAACTTAATCCACAATAAACAGACAATGTGCTTTAGTCCACTTTCAAAAGATAACTACAATACTCTACCTCATGTTCTGCCTGGTACAGTTTCACAGTGATGTTTCTCTGGAATCCCACCCCATCAGCCTCATAAAATACTCCGAGACTGGTAATGACAATGGGGTAAAGTACACGAAAGTTCACACTGACAATTCTGTCTTCAGATAGCACAGAAGGTACGTCCTCAGGGAGACTGAATGCTTCAATTTCCTGATTCAAAACTGTATGAAAAAGAAAGGACAGAGGTAATGTGAGAAGACTTCATAGTTCTTGAACTGGATACACACAGAGCACACTAGATACACGCAAAACATTCTGATGAATTAGCATGGCTCGCAAGTGCACAAGGATAATCAAACGCTGCAGGAGAAGAAAATACAACTGGCTGCAGACTGCAGCAAGGAGGAATTCAGAGTGATGCAGCAATCTGCAGGCTACCAGCAATTGCAAATCAATGCCTACATATCCACAGGAAAAAAGACTAGAAACACAATAAATCCACAGAGTGAAGACAAAAATGCTATTTGACTGCATGAATATCTGTATATTAGCATATTAAAATAATTATTCATGTATCAAAATGGCATACACCTCCACTTAATTGGATGCCTGCTTTTTGGCATTATTGCCTCCCTAAGCCCTGAGGTACCATTTATTCTTGGGAGACTGGTTAAGCAGTGGATGTTGCCATTCAAAGAGAAAGTAACAGAAGCTTCATTTTATGGTGAATCATGGCTTAAGTGTCAAGCAGTCCTTAGTTAACTTGCAATTAAAGAGCAAAAATTAAATAGGAAAAAAGGTGACAGAAGAACTTACAATTTTAGTTAGGAATTTTTGTATGGCAGCATTTCATTTTTTCCCCCGTGGTACATTTCTTAATTGCTCTCCCTCTACAGCAGAATCTGAAAAACCTATCAGCCAGGCTTGCTTAGAATTCACTTTGCCACCAGAGAAGTCTATCTGACACTCAAGACTCTGGCACCTTGCTACTTTCTTCACATATGACACTAGACCTGATCATTCCAGCTCTCTCCAACTTCATTTTACACAGGTATTGAGTAAAAATGTACATTATATGGGAGAGACTGTCCCCTGACGCAAGGAAAATGCAAATCCATTAGAAGTCAATGGCCTCCCCTTACATCCCCAAAGATCTCTCCCCTTCATGCCTGCACATGGTACTTACAGGAAGATCATGCAACTATTAAGACAGCACCCTTATTTTCAGGACTGGCTGACTCAGTTAAGCACCCCAAACTACTCTCAGAAAAGATGACTAGTTCTAGTTCAGCTCACGGTATTTTTAAAAGTTAACTTCTATACCTGGGTTACTGATGTTCAGAAGTTTGCAGGAGTATGGGTCTTCTCTGTCCTCCACTGGCACAGCACAACCATGCGCACCTATTATAAACTTCACAAGGACACTAAAATAATTTGGTTTTATTAACACCAGTTCTCTCCCCTCCTCCCTCCATCTACAACAAACGTATTTCATCACAACAGCCTGTCTTTCACAGGATTGAGATTTTGAACCCCTGAAAAATCAGTAGTTAGAGTCTGTATGTAGAGCAACCACGTGAATCCCCTCATAGGGGCTCAATTCCAAACCTCCATTAGTGTTTTACATTTCATAATGAGGACGCATGAAGATTGGCAACTAGGAATGTGATTCAAGACAGCCAGCACACTAAACAGAAAAAGACCTAAGGCAACACTGAAGGATCCTGAAGACCTGCCTTTCCCTGCCTGGCTTTGTTACTTAATTCAAGATTGTTTAAATATTCTGCATTCAAAAGGCAATCAAAAAAATAATAAGAAAAGAGACGCATAGCATCAAAGGAGGAACAAGGACCCCAGACTACTCGTTACAATGAAATGTCTCAGTTTTGCTTTGTAGCAAAACAACAGGTTGCTCTTTCCAGTCCCAATCATGGTTGTGCCACAATCAGGAGACAAGAAGCAGTATGAAGAGCAAGAGGGTCCACTTTAGCCTAGTCTTTCACCTAGCAGCTAAATATCCTCCTGGAACTCCATATGAAAGGTCACATTTTTAGATGACTGAAGTAGCTATGCTTCACTCCAAACTGCAAGCTGACAACAAATCTGTGAACTCAGTGGCTCAGTGCAAGGCAGGTACCAAGATGTGAGGCCTATCAAGATGACAGCGTTTCCATGAATGAACTGCAGCAGAAGTTTCTCAGCAAGAACAGAGCTGTCTGTAGACTGTCAGGTCTATGCAAGCAATGAGGAAGGGTTCTGCTGGTCACTCACACTGCAGCAGTCTCATGCACCTGGTTCAGTGGGAAATAAACCTGAACTTTACAGCTGAGGCTGTTGTGAGGGTTTTTTGTGTTTCTCTCACCAAATGTGACCCTGCCTGCTTTCAAGTATCCTGGATTACTAAGCATTTCAAGTTGCATACCATACAAAGTGTACATTGCAACACAAAAAAGGGAAAGTCTTATACATCACTAATGAACAGTGGCAACTAACTGCAAAAACAAACAGCAGCAAATAGTCAAACAATTACATTTTATTCCTTGTATAAAAAACAGTTACAGCTCAGAAAAAGAAGTATTCTTATAGATTACTAAAGAGATTGAAAAAAATTATCAGAGTACAAGATGCTCACAAATAAAGCAAAAAAAGGAAATACTTCCCAAAAGAAAGGATTAAATCAAGAAATTTAAGCATTATAGTCTTCCCCCCACCCCCCCCCCCCCGCCCAAAGCCCCAAATTACAAAACACTAGAGATTACCGTTGGCTCAGTGCAGGATGTTGTTTCAGGTGCTTGAACCAAGTGTTCCTTATAACACTGCGCAGTTCATGATTGTGTCGAGCTGACAAAACACCTACAATAATATCATAATGTTTCAGCTTCCACTGAGGAAAGAATGCCAGTGGACCTAGAAATATAAAGCGACAAAGATTTATTATATACACATATTACCATCAGCCTGAGTTGCAAGCAACAATTAAAATGCATCTCAAAAGCAAGAGTACTGGGAACCTGAAACACTAAAATCAATAAGCAGAATTACTATTGCATTCTTGGTTCAGAATTGGGGAAACATTTTCAACATGCCAAAACCTTCACTAGCAGTCTAGGAAAACTTTACTGCAATGATCTAAGCAAGTCACTGCAGGTAAAAAACTGTGACTCACAAGGCAGGCAAAAACATAAGCCTTAGTTTTGACTGACAGCATCTTCCATTCTTTAAATATTTGCCTGCCTGTCTTATGATCAAACTGCCCCCTGAGAACATGCTCTTGCTGGGCTTCTCTTTCCTATCGGCCATCAGAAACCTTGTGGGCAAGACACAAGGTCCTACTGTTCCCGCCGCAAAACTCTTGAGACAGTCTAGGCCTTCTGCTTGTTCATTGATACCTCCTCCAGCATGATTTATCCTAAAGCCTGGGCCTTGTCATCACTGGTACCAGGCCTTCACTATTAAATTCACCAGTATTCTACCTAGGAAAAAAAAAAAAAATTTCAACAAGGCCTGTCAGATTCAGAAATATGCCCATTTCCCCCCTTCTTTTTAAAATTGCTGGGCTACCTTTCTGCCTCATCATTTCAATCTAGTATGTCAAGGCCTATCATTTCCAACCTTTTGAAGTGTAACACCACTTTGCCTTCACACAGGGCATTACATCCCTACACAGGGGAATGCTCTGGCTTTATTCATAGCTGGATGTCACTGCCAATACTTGTAATCCATGATTTAGCTTGTGCTGTTTTAATTTAGAGATCATGAAAGCCAGACTTGATTTCAGGTAAGATTATGACCAGGTATTAGACCTGAGAAGCTCTGACTTAGAGCCTGCAAACAGTCAGGCAAGTAGCTAAAGTGAATTTGCTTAACTTAATTTATCAAACATTCTAGAGTTAAGAGAGATTTATATTTAGCTTTAGTAAAGGATTGCTTTCTACTCATCTCATTTTTTTTCCCATTAGGCTGCAGATAAAAAAAAAAAATGTAAATGCGAGGGTCCTCTAAACTACTGCATACAGCATAGATAAGATTTTTTTTAAATCTAATTTTAAAAAGACAAAAATATCACCAAGTCTGTATTGTATACTCCCACTAGAAAAGAGCTGAATTATAATCCAGATTCTACCTCCTGTACCAGCCTCCCCTTTTTCCACTTTGAAACTGAGAAGATAGATAGGTCTTGTTACAACTGCCCACCAACCTAGGGCCTCACAGCACCTGCCACAAGAACTGCCATGCCAAATCACACCAGACACCCACCTAGCCTTACATTCCACTTCAGTGCGCAGCATGCAGTGGAGAGGCCTTGGCCTTGCTCTGCTCTCTGCTGAATCAACATCAAGCTATTTCAGATTTTTTTTTTTTTTTTTTTGCTTTAGGGGCTATTGATAATGGCTTGCACCCAACTCCCTAGTCCCAAAGCCAAATAAAACAGTGCTCTGCAACTGATTCTCAGAACAGTAGAAGAGCAGGGAAAGTAGAGTGATGTTTCCACAGGCAAACCTTTCCCAGTCTATTTCCCACTAAATATTTTATATCTAAACACACAAACACTGATTTACTGGGAAAAAAAAAGGTTAAGTCCCACAGTTATTTAAATGAATCTGTACTGACAACAGCTACAAGCTTATCAATAACTTAAGCTGAACATTAACCTATTAAGAGAAGTTTACATCAACTTATTCTCACAACGACTTAAAAACCCAAACAGCAAGCCACTAGTTCCACTCCTTGGTTTTTCGCTGAAGTCAACTGTTACATCTCTTATAACAACCACACACTGAATTGGAAAAAAGGTTCAGGAATGTGATTTGTTTGCTGACAGAGCAACAAACTTACTACCCTATATAACATCTGAAGAAACCTGAAAAGTCAAACACATTGCTCAATCCAAATACAATTTTAGTTTTCCTTTATGCTGGTAAATACCAACTATCCAGAGGCTCTGTGTGTCTTTGGAGGTCATTACGTAGCCAAGATCCGTCAGGTCTTGACAACAGCAGAGGTACATCAGGCAGCCACACGTTTGTAAGACTACAACATTATAGCAAATTCCTCTGTAGTCTCATAATTCCTTCTCACGTATCCCTTTTCTTTCCCTGTTCTTCTTCCATCCTTTCATTACTCTTTAAACAGCCTCTGCAGCCTTAACCACAAGCCTTCCAACGTAAATCTCATAGGAGGACTAATGTGTTTGTAGACTGCACATGAGGTATTGTTTACACAGATTTGGTTTTTAAGATATCACTTTTAATTAGAAGCAGAACCATTTCATTAAATCAAAATTAAAGAAAAATAAAACTAAGAGCAGAAGTCTATGGGGTGACTTGACTCAGAATAGCGTAAATTGGCTTAAATCAATTAAAAAAATAAAAATAAGCTACTCAAATCAAATATATAAACTTTTAATTAGCTTATATTTTAAAATGAGTGAAGCTTTTCCTTATGAACCGTTCATGTGGGAACAAAGTTAATGTAACAGATGCTTCAGAATTAATAGCCTACTGCTTTTAGAACAGACAGCTCTTTCTTGTTTTAGGCCATCTTCAGGCTTAGTAAGGAAGCATTACAGTGGTCTATATTGAGAAGATTGTCTTCTCTGTCCCAAGGGTTACACCATTTTACTTTTAAAACCACTGAAAATGGGGGGGGGGGGAAGCTTACTTTCACAAAAACCTAATGAATAAGCTCTCTGCTTGTTAGTAAAGGTTTCTACTTCATATGGAAAAGTAGGAGTAACAGTTGCTAAACTTTCAGGAAAAGAGATTCATATGTCTCTCTCTCTCTCTCTGAACTAGCACTATTAAAAAAAATGGGACATAAAGTGAGAGGCACAGGGGAAGAAAAGACTAAAGCTATTATTCATTTATAAGGATAATTCAGATACGTGCATATATATGCTCTGATACAGCATAATTTAAAAGAAAACATTGCTGACCTCCAAGTCAATAGTAACAATTTATACAAGCAATCAAAAACTTGCCACTGGGGACCAAACTTATTTATCTCATGTTCTACTTTTGTGCATTCTTAGGCCAAAATTTTAAGTGTTGGTAAAAGGCTAAAAAATACATACTACATCACTCTTACCTCGAACTGGTTGTGCAAGATAATTAAGCCTTTAAATTTTCCAATTACGAAAACAAACAAAAACCCCAAATCTGTACATTTTGTGGGTTGGGGGTGAGGGGGGAGAAAAAAAGCTACATATCACATTCCATGATAAACCCTAAAAGTGCTGCTAACCGAAGGGATGCGGAAGGAGAGGAAGCCTTTCCAATTCAAAGGTCACACTATCACTGATTGCTTTGCTTTTAAATTCTTACTGTCTTAAAGCTGCATCTCAGTTGCATCACATAGCCCTAGACTTCTCAGTGGAACATAAGTAGCCAAATGTGCAATGCCTGCCCTACACTCTTTTAGCGCCAGCAACAAAATTGCTTTCACTTGGCTGTTTTGCTTGAGGCTGTTAACCCACAGCAAAAGCTACAAAAAACATGAAAGGAAGCAGCCCTCTCTCAGCTGCTGAGATCCATTTAATTCTATACAGCAACTGTAAGGAGTACTTCTGTCAGCTCTAAGACTACTTAAATCCGGTCTGCCAGAGTCTTGTTTCACATGGTTAGTAACAAGCTCCTACTGAAGTTTTCTTGGGCTGTGATATTTGTAAGGACAGGCTACCACACAATTGTCTGATGTCTGACCATACATGTATTTCTATTAGTACAGTTTTTCACCTCAGTATGAGCTGTGGTAAGCTTTCACAGGATTCTTGGTCACTAGTTTTCATGAAACTTGGTGAAAACAATGGTCTTTGGGACCTCCACCTGTCTGTCAAGCTTAACTGAGAACTACCAACAGATCAAAGTTAGGAATAACTGCAGGGAAAGGTAAACAAGTCCATATAGAGAACACAAAGCTGTGCCCTTAGAAGACAAGGCTAAAGATGCAGAAGTGTGTCTCCTGCTAAGTTGGCCATGGAAAGAGGTCACTGCTGACAGGCAGTCTGCTGGCCTAGTCAGATTTTAACCACATCAGCAGCAGTCAACAGCTCTTGAAGTTTTTCAAAATCCCAAACTACAGAGATTAACATGCATCTCTTCCTCCTGTGAGGCTGATTCTCAAGTAAAACGTCAAGTTAAGCTGTTAATTATATTTACTGTCATTATAAGGAGATGAAAAGATTGAGAGATCATTTAGCTTGATTTTGTCAACAAACAAGGTAAATATGATCTTGCTGCACATATCTCTACTGATGAGTCCCCTACCAACTACTAAATTTGGCAGTCGTTTTCAGTCAAGTTTGACACAGTGTGCAGTCCCCAAAGTGATTAAGTTCCCATGTTTCATGGAACTGGACTGGACAGAGAAAAGACTCGTTGTTAGTGCCTGCACTGAGAAACGCAGCAGCATAGGGTTACCTGCATTATCAGGCACCAGAGAAACTCCACTGGAGACTGCTAGCATGAGCAAGCTCCACAGAAGGCTGGGCTTTCTATCTTCTGCTACCCATGCAGCTACTTTTTCTCAGAAAAAAAAATAATCAGTGAATGGAACTAAGTAGGCCAGGCAGAAGTTATTTAGAATATTCTCAACTAATCTACTTGATAAGATAAGACTAAAAAGGAACAACACCCCTCCAAAAAAAACAAACCCCACACTTTCCAGGTTGTTATCTCTGCCTATTCTTGCGACTGCAACCACATTCCTGTTTTTTAATGCCTTTTTCTTCTGTACCGCTTTGTGAAAGATCCAAACAAACACGAAGGAAGGAATTAACTGAATATAAAGGTTTGTATTCAGAGAATGCTGACACACTCAGAAAAAGGACAAAGCAAAGAGCTTTCCCCCTCTCTAATCTTCTTCACTTAAAGTAATCTGCTATAGCTCATCTGCATTACACGTTTCTCTGCAAGCAGAGCTACGTGACCCCCCTTCAGTACCTACGTTATACCAGAGCTAAAAATCGCCAAGATGTGCACCCCTGGTTTCTGCGGGAGCACGGTACTCCTTGAGGCAGACAAGCCTTTAGACAAGCTTTTAAACAAGCTTTACAGATTCAAAGAGGAAAACCTCTGTAGGCAGTTATCTTTTTTCTTTTTTTTTTAACATCAACAGCATTCCCTTAAAGAAATAGGACAGCAAGGTCCTGAGTTGCAAAGTGACAGTAGTAATACTGGTGGGATGATGGTGCTCTAAACACCATTACTGATACAGCACTCGCATACTTCTAGACAAATCTGGGAACAATGGCCAAAGCATCAGAAGCATAGACACAAAAGGAATAAAGCAAATGCTTTTTGCAACACTGAAACTGTTCCTCCCTGCCTTTTTTTCTTTTTTTTTTTGGGGGGGGGGGTGAAGGAGGGCAGGGGGAAGCACAGCACCTTTATCCTTTGAAAACTAGTTACCAATCCCTGATGCCACGGAACAAAAAACCTGCTCCCAGGGAAGGCTACATGTTCCCTCAATGGGCAATTTGGAAGACAACTGGTGAAGAGCTTCCTTCAGCCACAAGTCTTGCTCTCCAACTGTGGCAGAACTGATACTCTTTGCCCCCTGCTCCAGCACCAAAACACAAAAATGCAGCTCCAGTGCTGCTCGTTAGTAGTTTGCAACATCCACGGAATAACTGCAAACTCAAAAAAAATCCCAATTCAGCTGGAAAATACTGTCAGCTTTGTTGTGGATTCTTTGTCAATTATTTCATGCCCATCAAAGGTGAGGGGATTGTTTTTGTTGGGGATGGCCCATCCCTGGAAAACAACGTTATAGTAAGATCTCACAGATGAAGACTGGGGAACAACTGGCAGAACTGCACAGCTACTGCCAATGCAAAACGTGACCTGTTGATGGAAGGTTTCGATTTCCAAGGCCACCAGCCTATTAGTCTTTACATGCCTACAAAAGATGAAATAACTTTGTGACCAAGCATACTACTCTCTGACAGACAGGCTTAACAGATTTCAGACATCTTTTCTTAAGAAAGTATCACATTTTGGCAGACTTTCTCCCTACAGAGCACAGCATCACTCAAAACCTCAGAGGTTGTTTCTGCATTAATTTATTTCAGCACTGAAAAGCCAAAAGCAGGTTAAGCTCTTCCTCCTTCTCTCTCACCTGTTATGTACACAGGCTAGATCATGAGGGGGACAGCCCTAATTCTGCAAGGCAGATCACTAAACTCCAGCCTGACCAACCCTGTATATGGTTCCATTAGGCCAGTGCCTGAAGAAGTACGTGCTGAACCACAGGACAACAGATGGCATACAAGCAGTTTCTAGAAAATGGTGGTTTTTAATCTGTTGCATAATTGTTCACTAGTAAAAGACTGACTCTAACAAAACCAAAAGGGCCAGTTCTTAGCTGCCACACACCCCCAGAAATGTAACAGGAATAACGTATTAAAGGGCATTAGCATCAGCAAAGTAGCAGCATGTTACATTGAATGTGTGGGGCTTTCTGATCAGGCACTGTAACTGAAGCCCTACAGTGAGTAATTTCCTACTCAGTAAGACTTCTGCCATCAATTAAAACACACGATCAGCAATGAATCCACCTGGAGTGCTAAAAACAGGTCTGTCTGTTCTTTCTCAAGTTTCTGAGGTCATTTTATAATTAGCATTTATCTAAGATTTTTACAAAAATTAACTAAAGCTTCCTACCCACAAACTTCCTTTCGATAGCACTTGCTTGTAACCAGTTAGACAAGGACTTCAATTAAACTTAAAAGCACATTCTTGCACAAATCTTGCTCAGAAGTGCGAATTACAGTCTCATTAACTGATGAACAAAAAGAAGGCAGGGAGCCAGCAAAGTCAGGACACTGAAGCAAAGGCCAGTGTCTTTGGTCTCAGAACTGATCTTATATATTTTTTTCCAATTAAAGAGTACTGTCTACAAGAAGTGTACTCCATCTTCTGTGACACCAAGGTGAAAGTCATCATGAACACAGAGAAAGTCAGAATACTGCACAGGAAGAGACACAACCAAGGGCCAAAGCGTGCAGGCAGACCACAGGCCTTTCACATGGCGTAGTTTAGAAGAAGGTCTTATTAAAAGAGGTGCTTCCAATAGAAGACGACAAGTAGATGGAATGAGTGAAGACTGGAACACTGTTTACATTTAAAGTCATCTGACCTACAGACCGCAAAAATTAACTGCTTTCTGGAAATGGAAAGCCTATTTTGCCAGTAGAAGTTAGAAATACCTAAATTGCTCAGCTTAAGAAAACAAAGGTTTAAAACCTTTGATCTCTGTGGTTACACGATGGAGGTGTACCTGAAGGAGGAAAAAAGACCCTTTTAACTGAAAGGCTTAAGAATAGAAGGGCATAAACCATTTGCAAGCAAGTTTAGGCCAGAAACGAGAAAACACTTATAATCAGGACAACAAACTTCTGGAACAGCCTCTTCCTAAGACTGCTAGGAATCCAAGCGAACAAACAAAAAGCTACCCCAAATCTTCACTAAATAAACGTAGGCTGCCCAGCTGCCATTTTAAGACAGAGCTCAAGCGTTGCTTATTAGAAAAAGTAAGCAGAATTGATGGCTAGAGATGTCTATTCCAGTCTTGTGTTAGCGAGTCAATGACGTCAAGGTAAATAATCAGCGTAACAGGTTATCAACTTTTTAACAAATTTCCATTTGCGTGAGTGTGTGTGATGACTATTGAGAGGGGAATTAAACTCCTCAAAAAATAGAACTGCTGTTCACTCTGCCTTTGACCTCCAGTAGTAGCCAATTTTGCAGCTGTTGAGGCACTATACAACTATTGAGGCACACAGACACTACACAGAAATACCAAAGGATACACAAATAATGCATTTTTATGTCACAGCTATTGTAAAATACTGTCCCATGACCAGATTTAATTTTTATTCATACCAGTGATTCCAGGTAGTAGGTAATAAAGAGCAGCTGGAGCAGTAAACAAGAAAAAAAAAAAAAGATATTACTCAATAATCAAATGAAACAAGACTGGCTTTATCAGGCAGTACCAGATCCTCTTAAACAGTTTCAGATTCAAGAAGCCTTTTAATATATAGGGACATTTCTTACTCTTGTATACGAATTCATTAATGTTCCTAAAACACTCTGAATAATAAAAAAATATAACACAGAAGACATCAGAGATAGAAGAGGTCCCTTAGCTCATCCTTCTTTCCTCTGCCAAGGCAGCCATACCTACAGCTTGTACATTTCGCAGTACTTTGAAGGCTAAGAGGCAATCTCTTCCTTAAATTATCATGCAAGGATCAGGCCTACAAAGAGATAGCACATGTACAGTGTTGAATATTTTCCTATGGAAGTTCTCTTTTTATAACAGGCATCAGTTTTTCTCTCCTCAGTGTGAATACATTACTCAATAGGTTACAACTAAGTAACACTAGCACAAACAAAATGTACACTTACTCTTTCAGTATTAAAAAAAAAAAGCTTTTTTAAAAATCCTAGTTATCCTAACATTATCCAATGCGGCACAGTTTCACAGTAACAAACACAAACTTGAAACAGCGAATCTCTGAAGAGCAAAGCTTCTTCCCTCCCTTCCCAACTGAGAAACTTCTGGATTTTCTTTAAAAATATTTGTTAGCGGAAAACACATTTCTGCAGGAAAGGTCATCGTGAGATTCCACATTGCCACTTCTAACTCCAAATTAATGCAATGAAGTTACAAAAGCAGCACCGTGAAAAATGAGGAACAAAACCAGCCAGACAATTCAAACGCGCTTCAGACTATCAACTAGAACTCCCGTTCTTTTATAATTCAAGGGTGCAATGGCCAGAATACAAAGACACCCATACAACTCTGTGGCCTTCAGGCTATGCAAATGCACTGACCCTGCTCCTTTCACACCTGCGTTATTAATTACCACTGGAAATCAGCAGACTCTCATTTCCTCACAGTTGTGTACGCTCTGCACAGGGAACAGGCACCGGTCGCAAAGCATGGCTCTGTTAGTGAACAGGGTACTGGGTCGCTAAACAGAGTTCTAAGCAGATCTCAATTTAAAAAACCCACCGTTTTTTCCTTATAATTTTTTCAGATGTCCTGTAGAATATTTCTTAATGTTCTCAAACAGCTCCTATGGGTAGTTGGCAAAAGTTTCTGCCCCAGCAGATGCCTGTTTCTACCAGGCTTGCAGATTTGCGGCCTGAAGACTACAACTTGCCTTATGAGGAGCACAAGGTGTAAGCAAGCCCTCAGGGGTCTGATTTCACTTGTGCCCATCCTGTGAACAGCTTTTTGCACCACAGGGGTTTTAAAGACCGCCGAGGCAAACACGGCACCGCGCAAAGAGCTATTCCGAGGACTGGGAACGACCCGACCCAAGTGGAACGCGTGGGAATTTCTTCCCCACGCACCTCAGCGGGAGCGGGAGGGCGCCCGTGGGGGCAGGAGGGGTTCAGAGGGGGCCGCCGCCCCACAGAAAGTTGCGGGGCACCCTCGACGACCCGCGGACGGCCACGGCGCTCGGTGCCTCCGGTGTAAACGGCGGAGCCGGCGCTGCTCT